CTTCTAACACATTATGTAGAAGAAATAAATCAATCACAAAAGCTAATTAAAACTGTATAATTATACTTGTATGAGGTACTTAAAATATTCAAAATCATAGAGATAAAAAGTAGAGTTACGAGTGCAAAACACTGTTTAAAGGCTATAGAGTTTCAACTTGGGCAGATGAAAAAATTTTGGAAATAGCTGGTGACAATGATTGTGCAACAATATGAGGGTACGTTACACCACTAATATAGGGGATATAGTGGAATGAAACTCCCAGTCTACTGTATGTCCAGTACGAGTTCATGTTCTCTAAAATCGAAGAATGAATTTTAAGAACAATGGAGGTTAAAAGCAGAATTATTTATTGAGAAAAAGAAAGCTTCTGTCTGAGAGACAGAAGGGGTCCCGAGTGGGTTGCCGAAGATCTGTATTTTCTAGGGATTTTTATAGAGTAAAACAATGATGTGAGGCGGGTGTAAAGCGGGGGAAAATGGGAATTCCCAAGGTAGACAGCATGAGGTGGGACCAAGCTATGGTCAATCAGTAAGTTTCATTGTTCGGGTAAAACTGACTAAATCAGGGACAAATATGGAAATGAGTCATGTAGCCAGTAGGCATTCTTAGGAATCAGTGACTCTTTCTGCAGGGGGCTGGGATGGTGACTCCTGGCTTCTAAGTGGTCAATACCTAATCCCTAAGGTTTATACTTAAGGATGTGGTTGCATTTGTTTTGTTTTCTGTTTTGAGATTGGCCCACAGCAAGAGGCGTGTGTCTCCTCCAAGATCACAAGACATTGGGTCATCTGTGCCAATTTCCTCGAGGTCCTCGCCCTGTCTGACTGCCTGTAACATTTCTAACTAGCTCAGCTGCCTGTAACAAATGTACACATTAAAATGATTAAAATAATGGATTTTGTGTTATGTATATTTCACCAAATTTTCGGCACTATTTGAGGTATGATTGGCAAAACCACATAAATTTAAAGTACATAACTTCTAAAAACTAAAATTTATTTTTTAAACATCAGCACTGCAGTGGGACCCCTGGAGGTTCTTCTAACCAGGACACACAACCGAATCAGGCAGCTGGACGCTTAAATGAGGTCTTTGTGTTTCAACTGATCCCAGAGATTATTAGGAAGCTGATAGATTTTTAATCTTTTTTCCTCTCAGTCTGAAAAGGTCATCTCATGGTTATCTGTTCCTAGAGGAATTTCTCCCTATCAATTATTTTAAACAACAATGCACAAGAAAGTTCCTCTTAAAGAAATAAGATGCGACCTAGGCACTGGGGAGAATGCAGACTCTCAGGTACCCGTACACTAAGTCATCTCCAGGTGTCTCCAGGGTGGGTGACAGAGCCCACTGAAACCACAAGTGGAACAGCCCCTTTGCCCGCGTGCCCAGGACGCTGAGCACCCCTGATTTTGTCTATGGACTCAGGAGGGTGGCCCCATACCTCACTATGTGTTCCCCTTCTTTCACCCAAGTCACAGCTGAACTCCCAGGGAAAGCCAGGGAACGAGATGTGGCTCCTCTTTGCTCTAGTGACTAAGATCCTCAGAGCTCCCTAGAGCCTCACATCTGTTCAAGGAGACACCTCCTTCCCCTGCTGCTTCCCCAAAGTCAAGGTTTTTCCTGTGGGAGAAGCTTAACCAGGCAGCTGGTGAGGGGCTCAGTAGATGCTGTGACTGGGGCTCAGAAAGTTCAGTTTGCTCCTCAAAAGTGCCTTGCGGAAGCAGCACTGTCGTGGGGCTGCTTTACGTTGCCTCAGTCTCCTCCAAGCCAGGTTTTCTGGGAATGTGGCAGGGCTTCAGCTGCCATTCCTAAAAGTTCCTTCTCCCAAAGGCTTTCAGTTTTACAGCAAATGTTACGCAAGAAACCACAATTCTAGCCCCAGCTCTTCTTGGCCATCACTTACCTCACTGTCCCCATGACCTTCTCCTATACCAAGGATAGTGACCCAGTGATTGCTCAGGCTCCTGACAGCAACAAGTAGAAAGTTACAAGCATCCTCTGAGAGGCACCCAGACACTGACCTGCTCCCCGACACACACCTGCCCCACACACTGTGCGTTGAGGCAGGGTCACAGCAGGACTCTCTCTTTATACAAAAAGCCTTAAATAGATTCTATAACTGTTTTTGTAAAAAGATAAGCATATTAATAGTATATAGTAAAATGAGTTCTTCTACCTAAAATTTCATTTTCCTACTTTTAAAAGAAAACTTTTTGAGGGCTTGTAGCCTCAGGCAGCACTGCTTCTCTGCCTAAGGGAGATGTCAGCAAATAAGGAAGAAAGCCAGCTAGGTGGGAGGGCTTGACCTTCCCTACACTGTGACTCCGGCTGCTCATTTCACCTGTGCTGGCCTCAGATGATTAGAGTGGATCCACCTCACAGCATTGATCAGAGGACTATGTCAGGATCATGTATGTGCTGGGGTGTATCTCAAGGGGTGGAGCACTTGCCTAGCATGTGTGAGGCCTTGGGTTTGTTTCCTAGACTGCACACCTAGAAAATCATACACACACACACAGAGCAATGTCCAGCACGGAGCATGGACTATAAACTGGTAGCAACCTTCTTACTGTTATTTGTGTTCCTAGTCTCCCAGTGACCACCCATCTTAACTGATGCTACCTAATGAGGCAAAAGCAAGACAGAGCCTCCAGCTTATGCAGACATCCAGTTTAGATTGCCTGGGGTATAGGCCAGTCTCTTTAGCTAGTCATACAGGAAAATTTTATTACCACAAAATTCCTTGGTAGAATTGCCTATGAAAAACCCTGAGGAGGGCTGGGGATTTAGCTCTGAGGTGTAAGCGCCTGCCTTGAAACCTTGCAAGTACACAGTCTTGAGTTTGATCCCCATACCAAAAAAAAAAGGCCTTAGGAAACTTGAACTACCAGAAATCTGATGAGCTCCTGTTGACCTGAGGCAGAGGTAAATCAGATTGCTGAGTGAAAAAGAGGAAAGTTACTAAACTGTAATCCACTTTTCTCCCACTGTTTAGCAAGTGTCAGAGCCCAGAGAATTTAGTGCCTTTTAAAATCCAAAGGCCTCTGGGATAAATTAATTTCTTAATCCCTTAACAGTCACACAAGAAGAAGGTCTGACAGCTGGGTTTTCTGAGAGGATGTGAACGAATACATGTCAGGGGCTTTACATACATTATCTGGTTTAATCTGGACAATAACCCTGTTGGTGTGGATTACTGTCCCCATTTTATAAATGTGCAAACAGAGGCTCAGAAAGGATTTGTTACCTGCCTGAAGGTCGTACTCCTTCCTGACATCCCAGAAGCACAGTGGGTACTGGGGGGAATGAGACAGTAGAAAGGGCAGTCGCCCGCCTGGCCACAGCTGATGTGCTAAAGTGCTCGGGGCCTTCGCTCCCCCAAGATCTGCCAGGGAGAGTTGACCCAGGGGGCCTGGGTTATCTTCTATTCTCACCCCACACTTTGCCTGCTCAGAGCAACCAACTGGGTCTTTTCCCAGCTGCTTTGAACTGATTGTTTGTGTCTCACAGAATGTGTATGTTAAAATCCTAACCCCTAAATGTTGTAGACAGCTGAGTTAGGTAGAAATATTATAAGCAGTGAGATAGGGTTGGGCCCTCAAGAGAGTCAGGACAAACATGAAACTTACATTACATTACATTACGTTACATTACAATACAACTGCGGCCAGAGCCACATCTGTTGAAGCCAGGCCTCAAGATAAAGATGGAATGACTGTGCCTGAGTTAAGTGGTAACGTGGTCTAATGAAATCTAGATAGAATCAATCACCTCAGTGGGTAACCAAGACTCCTGGACTCTTCATCTCCTACAGAGTTCTTTGTTGTTACTATGTGCACATGCTCCGTGACTTGCTTCCCCACTGGATCATTATTTCCTAAATTACTACACTTCTAATCTACTGGTTGATCATCGCTTTCACCTACGTTGTACCCACATGGTTATGCTCTATAAAATCTCCTCTGAGGGGCCAGGGGTTTAGCTCAGTGTCATAAGTACCTGCTTGACAAACTCAAGGTAATGAGTACGATCCCTGGCACCAAAAAAATTTTTTTTTTGCCCTGAGATGTGGGGTCCTCAGCAACCAACTAAAGACCCCTCCTCCATCTCAGGAGCTTATATCTCTCCCCCTTAATAAATTTTCCTACTCAACCCTCGTTGTTCCTTAGAATTCATTCTTTGATTTTTGCGGGGGGGAAGATGAACTTGGAGTATCAGATATCTAGCAGGTTGGAAGTTATAATATTTCCTGATATCATTCCTATAACATAACAATATGGTACAGGAACCCCTTAGGAAGTAATTAAGTCATGAAGGTAGAGCCCTCTCATAAACAGAATTATGCTCTTATAAAAGAGACCTCCTTACAAAAGGAGCTCTTTCCTGCCTTTCACAGTCTGAGGTTAGAGTGCAAAGGTGGCTGTCACCAGACACAGGCTCTATATAAGAAATAAATGTAAGAAATAAATTCCTGTTTTTTCCCAGCCACTTGGCCAGTGATACCTGCTTACAGCTGCCCAAACTAGCTAAGATACAGGGCAGCTGTGGCATTTCCTCAGTCCTGGAAAGGACAGCACCCCTTCTGATACCTCTGCTCCCTGAGCCCCAAAGTATCAGTGCTCCTTTGAGGTCTCTGATGAATTAAATGGCTATTTGCACTGGAAAGCTGGTGGCCCCCTGACAACTGGAAATCTCCAGTCAGTCACAGAACAGCCAGCCAGAGGAGCTCCCTGCCCACTCCTTTGTTAGCAAAAGGCAGTGCCAGCATGCTGGTCTCTGTGAAGGCAGACGTGAGTCACCTGCAGCCTGGCTCCAGTCAGCAGCCTCTTTACCTCTTCCTGCTGGCTCTCCACAGGAACATTAGTGACTCCAGAAGTGGAGTCCTGTTTATTTGACTGTAAGGTGGGAAGTCTGCCGTAAAGGGCTGCGGCTGACAGAACCAGAAAGGCAACTGAACAGCAGCACTGGGGTTGGCGTGAGGCCTGCAGTCCTACCTCCAAAGGCTGGTCTCATGGTGAAGTCATGCTCATCCACCCGGAGAAGTTGCTGAGGTTTTCCTGCTTGAATTTTGGTCACATCAAGATTCTTGTTATATGAGTGGCTGCAAAGACAAACCAGAAATACTTTTCCCGTGGTCTACCAAGGCACTGAGTGAGATGATTTGGGGAGCCGTCTCTTCTCTCAGTCCTTCTCTGCCAGGACCCCTCCCCACAGCATCATTCAACACCCTTACAGTATTATCGGCAGCCAAATAAATAGTAATTAATACACAGCTAGAGAGACTGGAGATACAGCTCAGCAGCACAAGCACCTGCCTGGCAAGCAAGAGGTCACGAGTTCGATCCCTGGTACAAAAAAAAAGACAAGAAAAGAATATACAGTCAGAGAGGAACTGGGCCCTCAGGAAAGGCAGCACAAAGAAATAAAGACACTAGAATGTTGAGTGAAAGTGCATCTGAAGGCCAATCCTCAAGATACAGACGCAGTGGCCAGGCCTATATGTTTCCCTAACGGACAGACAGTAACTTCAGATTACACTGTCATTACTACCACCTGGTCCAGTAAGTCCAGGTAGGCATCAGAGGGCTGGGCACATAGCTCAGTGCTGTGGTGTCCACCTGGCAAGAGTGAAGTTTTAAGTTTGATTCCTGGTACACACACACACACACACACACACACACACATACACACAAAGATAGAGATCAGATGCCCACGTAGCTAACCAGAACATCTGGACCCATCTCTTCCCAAAAATGTCTTTGCTCTTTCCTACACCATGTGACCCCTTTCCCTGTTGAGTCAATACTAGCTAAGTAGTTGTTCCTGTAATTGTATAGGTTGATTATAGTTTGACCTACATTGTACCTCCCTTGCTGTGTAAATTACCCCTGACACAGGGTCTCGGAGCCACCCCATCCAGGATCCTTCCTGGAAACCCAGGAACTATTCTTCTCCTTTTTCCAACAAAACTCTTCTAACTTCCTTCAGTTTGCACCTTCACTCCTTGATGTTATGAGACCATAAAATTAGTACATTTGACATCTAACAGGTTGGGAGTTATATTTCTCCTACATCATCAGGACCAGATCCTTCCAGAGCCTTCCAAAAGTAGACTCTACCACCACCTTCAACAGCATTCTACTTGACTGTCTTGCCAAAGTTATGATTGGGTGAAAATGGTTGGGTTGAGTGATAGAAGGATTTTTTTCTTTTTCCTTTTTATTTTTGTATTAAAAACTTTCTTGTGTTGTTGAGGTGGATTAGAAGAAATAAAAACTAAGTAAAAAAGAGACAAGAAAATCAAAAGTTTTAAGTTGTACATTTAAGAAAAACTACAGCTTTCAGACAAGCTTTTTTTCCTTCTTCAGGAGGCCACTCTCGCTCGTGATCTGACCAACCTATCCTATCCTCTGCTGTTGGGAGCCGCGTCTGTGATAGCTCGCCTTGCGCGGCGGACGTGCGGCCTGTGGTAAAGAGCAAAGCCTGAGGTAGATTACCCCTCCCATCGAATATGTTAGTTTCCTGCTTACCGCGTAAACAACCCGCTCAACAATATAGTCTGCCTGGCAACTGATGATGTTAGCCAATCAGCTTGCCTTGCTTACTTTAACATGATTGGACACTGTACCCGTATATATACCGGTGCCACCCCTGGGCGGAAGAAGAAGCCAGGTAGAAGCCCAGAAGTAAAAGCCCAAAAGGAGCCGCGGAGAGCGGACCGGTAGAGGCTTTGGGGCAGACTGAAGCACAAAAGGAGCCGCGGGGAGCGGACCAGAGGAGGCTTCAGCTGGGAGAACCCAGGGCAGGCTGTACGGAGAAGAAAAATAAAAAGAAAAGGTTGTCCACTACCAGACTTTGTCGTGTGTCCTTCCTGCCGGCCGGGAGCGGACATCGACATTTGGAGGCCCGCCCGGGGACTGATCACCCCCGAGACGTGGAAGTGGACAACGCTCCAGTACAGAGCTGCGAGACAGGTGAGTTGGGGATAAGCCTGGGCTCTGGGTGGCGCGCACCTACAGGGCTTTTAGACTCCCCTCAGGCTCACGCGTAAGTGGCGGATTCCTTGGGCCTCACGCGGTGAGTAACATATTAAAAGATGGGAAACATGTTAGGTAGCAACACTAAGAGCGAGGGTGGTTGTGGAGAAAGCTCTCAAGAGCTTACAAAAGTACGCAGGGGTATCTGAGCAGGCCCAGTCAGGGAGCTCCCGAGAGGGGTCCGTCAAGGGGAACAAGGATGCTAAGGAGGAGGACGGGGCTCTAGCCTCGGAGTCGTCTGACTCCGAGGACGAGGGAAAGTTGAATGGCAAGGAGGCCAAAGAGACCAGCTGTCAGGAGCCTAAATCGCTCAATAAGGAGTCGCAGGGTTCTTTTCCAGCGTTGCCCCGCGAATTGCGCTCTGCTCAACCTGGTCTGCGGAGGAGTAGAGAGCTCCTGAGCGCTCCCCGGCGCGAGAGGGAGGCGAAGCCTTCCGCCCCACCTTGGGGGCCGTTTCCGGAGGCGATTCCTCGCCACGAGGCGGCCGCCTGGGAGCTCTCTCCCCTTTCGCCAGAACAGGAAGTGATGCACGGGCCCCCATTTTCCGCCCAATCACGGCTGCTGTCTTATGCTCCGCCGCCGGCGGGTCGGTATTCTTACAGGCGGCTTTGGCAGGGGGGACGCTTGTCTCATGAGGTACATCCACCTGGGATAGATAGTGGCCCCTACGGGATATTTCCTGTACAAGTAGCTATGGGCCAGGGACGCAATGTATGGGAGCCTTTTGAGATAAAGCAGATTAGAGAACTTAAAAATGCAGTTACAACCTTTGGGCCGACTGCGCCTTACACCATTGCCATGCTGGAGAATCTGTCTTCTGGGCCCCTCACCCCCGCGGACTGGATTCAGCTGGCAAAGGCGTGTCTGCCCTCGGGTAGTTACCTGGATTGGCGAGCCTGGTACGCAGAGTTCTCTGCCGAGCAGGCTGAGAAAAACGCCGGTCGAGGAAATGGGAGCTGGGGATTTAGCTTAGCGGCATAAGCGCCTGCCTTGTAAGCAGGCAATCGCCAGTTCGATCCCTGGTACCAATAAAAAAAAAAAAAAAAAAAAAAAAAAAACGAAAAAGATAAAAATAAAAAATAAAAAACAAAAAGGGGGAGTAAGCCAAGGCCTGCCTCCAAAGGCGCGGTTATCTATGGCATGACAATGGATGGGCCCGGATCCGGTAGTCAGCTGGAACCGAGGCGCGGTTTGTGTTTTCCCACAGGAATCGGGACGAGAACCACTGTGGATACCGGAGAGACTGACACGGGCAACAAAGCCCTCGACTGAAGATCAGACCTGCCCTACTGGAGATCCATCACAGACCAACCAATAAGATGAATAGAAATAGCGGTAGCCCGAAATGGACAAGAAGATCCTCAGGCATATGCATGGCTTGCTCAATTGGCCCACGACCGAGTCTAGATATGGCGGGCATCCCTCATTCTCCTCCATAAGGTGACAATACATAGCAGGGTAGGTGAGTCAATGACAGGTAAGAGCGTGCCTCCCCAGCACGACTCGACCTAAGCCAGGCCCTACCCCATCCTGCACGTAAGCCGCTGGACTGTTAGATGCTGCCCAGGTCTAAATTTCTCTCCGAGGGGATTTCTTTACGGAGAGGAAATGAGTGCAAGCTTGTGTGCATCCAGGTTCCGTCCAGTTTGTGCCTGGCCCTAGAAAAAGGACGAGGGCCTCAGGGCCTTGGCAGACCATGGCATGGCCAACCAGGGTCTAAGCCAAGGACCTACGGTGGGCCTACACATAGGGCATAAGCCTCTGCACCCAGTCCAGGAAGGGCTACGATGCGCACATTCATAAAAAATAAAATAGGGGGAGATGTTGGGAGCCGCGTCTGTGATAGCTCGCCTTGCGCGGCGGACGTGCGGCCTGTGGTAAAGAGCAAAGCCTGAGGTAGATTACCCCTCCCATCGAATATGTTAGTTTCCTGCTTACCGCGTAAACAACCCGCTCAACAATATAGTCTGCCTGGCAACTGATGATGTTAGCCAATCAGCTTGCCTTGCTTACTTTAACATGATTGGACACTGTACCCGTATATATACCGGTGCCACCCCTGGGCGGAAGAAGAAGCCAGGTAGAAGCCCAGAAGTAAAAGCCCAAAAGGAGCCGCGGAGAGCGGACCGGTAGAGGCTTTGGGGCAGACTGAAGCACAAAAGGAGCCGCGGGGAGCGGACCAGAGGAGGCTTCAGCTGGGAGAACCCAGGGCAGGCTGTACGGAGAAGGAAAATAAAAAGAAAAGGTTGTCCACTACCAGACTTTGTCGTGTGTCCTTCCTGCCGGCCGGGAGCGGACATCGACACTCTGCCTTCTATCCTTTGGGCACTGGACCTGCCCTTTTCACCTATAAATCGTGCCTGCATATAGGAAGCCCTTCTGGACCTCCTCACGGGCCAGAGGAGTCTACATTGGTAATCCCAGGGAAAAGTTATTGAAACTCCAATACGTAATTCCAACCTACCACTTCCAGTGCAATCCATGCAAGAATAAAGACACTAAGGCACAGTTGTAGCTGTGGGAAGAGCCAAGGGGGGTCCTAAATCCAGCTAGAACAATGCCTAACCAGAACTAAGGGCTTGACCCAGGGCTGAACCGGCTTTTATTAATTCATGAAGAAGGGAGTTGCTCAGAGATGAGCAACTGTGAGAAAAGCAGGCGGTACATGAGTGCTGTAAACTGAGTTAGGAGGTCTAAAATCACCTCTGCAATAGCAGAGAGAGAGAGAGAGAGAGAGAGAGAGCAATCTGCATATCACAGATTGGGGCAGTATCTAGTGGTTTTTGTTTATTTTGTTTGTCTTTTTGAGACAGGGTCTCACTATGCAGTTCAGGCTGATCCTGAGCTCACTTTGTAGCCTAAACTGGTCTCAAACTTGCAATGATCTTCCTGCCTCAGCCTCCCGCTTGCTGTAATTATAGGCACACGCCATCATGCCCGGCAGTGTCTAGTGTTTTGGAATCAGTGGTTTAGTTTTGATGTATAATCACCACACTCTGAGATGTTACAACTTTTTTCTTGAAGCTCAATCTCAGTGTGGCATCACTCGGCCTAGCTCATACGT